CACTTAGATTTACTTTGATACACTTAGATATACTTTGATACACTTTGATATACTTTGATACACTTTGATACACTTTGATATTCGTTGATACACTTATATATACTTTGATACACTTAGATATACTTTGATATACTTTGATACACTTTGATACACTTAGATAAACTTTGATACACTTAGATATACTTTGATACACTTAGATATACTTAGATATACTTTGACACCCTTAGATATACTTTGATACACTTAGATATACTTTGACACCCTTAGATATACTTTGATACACTTATATATACTTTGACATACTTTGATGCACTTAGATATACTTTAATACACTTAGATATACTTTGATACACTTTGATACACTTCGATATACTTTGATATAATTTGATACACATTGATATACTTTGATATACTTTGATACACTTAGATATACATTGATACACTTTGATACACTTAGATTTACTTTGATACACTTAGATATACTTTGATACACTTTGATATACTTTAATACACTTTGATACACTTTGATATTCGTTGATACACTTATATATACTTTGATACACTTAGATATACTTTGATATACTTTGATACACTTTGATACACTTAGATAAACTTTGATACACTTAGATATACTTTGATACACTTAGATATACTTTGATATACTTTGACACCCTTAGATATACTTTGATACACTTAGATATACTTTGATATACTTTGACACCCTTAGATATACTTTGATACACTTAGATATACTTTGATACACTTTGATACACTTAGATATACTTTGATATACTTTGATACACTTAGATATACTTTTATACACTTAGATATACTTTTAAACACTTTGATACACTTAGATATACTTTGATACACTTATATATACTTTGACATACTTTGATGCACTTAGATATACTTTAATACACTTAGATATACTTTGATACACTTTGATACACTTAGATATACTTTGATATACTTTGATACACATTGATATACTTTGATATACTTTGATACACTTAGATATACTTTGATATACTTTGATACCCTTAGATTTACTTTGATACACTTAGATATACTTTGATACACTTTGATATACTTTGATACACTTTGATACACTTAGATATACTTTGATACACTTATATATACTTTGACATACTTTGATGAACTTAGATATACTTTGATACACTTAGATATACTTTTATACACTTAGATATACTTTGATACACTTTGATATACTTAAATACACTTTGATACACTTAGATATACTTTGATACACTTAGATACACTTAGATATACTTTGATACACTTAGATATACTTTGATACACTTTGATATACTTTAATACACTTTGATACACTTAGATATTAGTTGATACACTTAGATATATTTAGATATACTTTGATACTCTTAAATATACTTTGATACATTTTGTTACACTGATATATACTTTGAACACTTAGATATACTTTGATACACTTAGATATACTTTGATACACTTTGATACACTTAGATATACTTTGATATACTTTGATACACTTAGATATACTTTGATACACTTAGATATACTTTGATACATTTTGATACATTTAGATATAATTTGATACACTTAGATATACTTTGACACCCTTAGATATACTTTGATACACTTAGATATACTTTGATACACTTTGATACACTTAGATATACTTTGATATACTTTGATACACTTAGATATACTTTTATACACTTAGATATACTTTTAAACACTTTGATACACTTAGATATACTTTGATACACTTTGATACACTTAGATATACTTTGATATACTTTGATACACATTGATATACTTTGATATACTTTGATACACTTAGATATACATTGATATACTTTGATACACTTAGATTTACTTTGATAAACTTAGATTTACTTTGATATACTTAGATATACTTTGATACACTTTGATATACTTTGATACACTTTGATACACTTAGATATACTTTGATACACATTGATATACTTTGATATACTTTGATACACTTAGATATACATTGATATACTTTGATACACTTAGATTTACTTTGATACACTTAGATTTACTTTGATACACTTAGATATACTTTGATACACTTTGATACACTTAGATATATTTAGATATACTTTGATACTCTTAAATATACTTTGATACATTTTGATACACTTATATATACTTTGATACACTTAGATATACTTTGATACAATTAGATATACTTTGATATACTTTGATACACTTTGATACACTTAGATAAACTTTGATACACTTAGATATAATTTGATACACTTAGATACACTTAGATACACTTTAATACACTTAGATATACTTTGATATAAGTTGATACACTTTGATACACTTAGATAAACTTTGATACACTTAGATATACTTTAATACACTTAGATATACTTTGATACACTTAGATATACTTTGATACACTTAGATATATTTTGATACACTTAGATATATTTAGATATACTTTGATACTCTTAAATATACTTTGATACATTTTTAAACACTAATATATACTTTGATACACTTAGATATATTTAGATATACTTTGATACTCTTAAATATACTTTGATACATTTTGATACACTTATATATACTTTGGTACACTTAGATATACTTTGATACACTTAGATATACTTTGATACACTTTGATATACTTTAATACACTTTGATACACTTAGATATTAGTTGATACACTTAGATATATTTAGATATACTTTGATACTCTTAAATATACTTTGATACATTTTGTTACACTTATATATACTTTGAACACTTAGATATACTTTGATACACTTAGATATACTTTGATACACTTAGATATACTTTGATATACTTTGATACACTTAGATAAACTTTGATACACTTAGATATAATTTGATACACTTAGATACACTTAGATACACTTTGATACACTTAGATATACTTTGATATAAATTGATACACTTTGATACACTTAGATTATCTTTGATACATTTAGATATACTTTGATACACTTACATATACTTTGATACATTTTGATACATTTAGATATACTTTGATACACTTAGATATACTTTGATATACTTTGATACACTTTGATACACTTAGATAAACTTTGATACACTTAGATATACTTTTATACACTTAGATATACTTTGATACACTTTGATACACTTAGATATACTTTAATACACTTAGATATACTTTGATACACTTTGATACACTTTGATATACTTTGATACACATTGATATACTTTGATATACTTTGATACACTTAGATATACATTGATACACTTTGATACACTTAGATTTACTTTGATACACTTAGATATACTTTGATACACTTTGATATACTTTGATACACTTTGATACACTTTGATATTCGTTGATACACTTATATATACTTTGATACACTTAGATATACTTTGATATACTTTGATACACTTTGATACACTAAGATAAACTTTGATACACTTAGATATACTTTGATACACTTAGATATACTTTGATATACTTTGACACCCTTAGATATACTTTGATACACTTAGATATACTTTGCCACCTTAGATATACTTTGATACACTTAGATATACTTTGACACCCTTAGATATACGTTGATACACTTAGATATACTTTGATACACTTTGATACACTTAGATATACTTTGATATACTTTGATATACTTTGATACACTTAGATATACTTTTATACACTTAGATATACTTTGATACACTTTGATACACTTAGATATACTTTGATATACTTTGATACACTTAGATATACTTTTATACACTTAGATATACTTTTAAACACTTTGATACACTTAGATATACTTTGATACACTTATATATACTTTGACATACTTTGATGCACTTAGATATACTTTAATACACTTAGATATACTTTGATACACTTTGATACACTTAGATATACTTTGATATACTTTGATACACATTGATATACTTTGATATACTTTGATACACTTAGATATACATTGATACACTTTGATACACTTAGATTTACTTTGATACACTTAGATATACTTTGATACACTTAGATATACTTTGATACATTTTGATACTGTTGAAGCCAAAGAGGAAATTTAAGGCCTTTTAAAACAATAAAATCCTAACTCTAACCTCTTATGAAATTTTATGCTAATTCCTGAGACTTGATTGCTGTGAAAAATAACAAAACACAATTTATGACAAAATGAAATGTATTAAAGAAAATAACTATTATGCTTACAAATAAAATGAAATAACCCTTAAATGAAAATAAAATGTTACAATTAATATTTAAACAATTTTTAAATGAGCAAAAAGATATTGCTGCCAGGTAGGATGGAACCCGGGACTGTGAGATTGTAAGTCCAATGCTCTGACCACTAGACCAAAGATGATTGAAGAATTGAGCTGCAGTGGCTCTATTAGCCTCAATCAGTGACTACTGTACTGTATTGGAGCTTGTTCAGGATTGCACAATTGTGTACAGCACACTGAATATAAAAGTTTGTTAAAATTAAAGGGATACTGCTGACCCTTGGAAAATTAATTAATAATGAGAAAGGGATACTGACGACCCTTGCAATTAATGTCTATAAATGTCTGACTCACGACTACATGGTGAAAAATCTTCTCATCAGTCCAAGCACAAAAACACATGTCACATTCTGTCTCTGTCTCTATCCACTCTCTGACCACTGAAGCAACCGTTGAGACCGTCCAGCATGACCATTGTACCCAACCTGGCAGCTTACCCTATCTATGAGTGATTTACTTAACTAACTACAATGAATGAATGAAACCATTTCATGAGAATTATTCTAACAAATGGAATACAAAGTTTTAAATATTTATGAAACAACAAATTGAGTTATTAAGATAAAATGAATATTTTGTAAATACAATAAAATAAAATCTACTTATTTTTAATTAAATAAAAAGATGCTTAATCATACTCCCCACCGAAATTTCCAAAGAAATTTCTACTGATTTTGGTAGTTAATCAAAGTGACTGGTATGGAGGGGAAGAAGAGGAACAACTTTGACTGCAGGTCTTCTCAACTCAGAACGTCCACACTTTACTGTCAAAACTCTGACAATACCGTCTTCACCTGGGTGCACGTGTGTAATTCTCGCCAAAGGCCATTGAAGAACAGGGGCATTTGGCTCTTTTAGCAAGACAAGATCGCCTACTTTTGCATTCTCATAGTTCTTGGTCCATTTGTTCCTCTTTTGTAGGAACGTAAGGTATTCAACCCTCCATCTTTGCCAGAAGTGTTGAGTCATTCTTAGCAGCAATTGCCAACGAGATAAAGATGATACTTTAGTATCTAAAAGTGACGGTTCAGGGGTGGCAAGGAGTGATGTCCCAATCAAAAAATGGCCAGGTGATAGGAACTCAGTTTCTTCAGGAGATGAAGACAACGGACATAAAGGTCTGGAGTTTAAAACAGCTCCAATTCTGATAAACCAAGTTGTGAGCTCCTCATATGTGAGTGGTGTGTCACCTGCCACTCTTCGGAGAAGTGTCTTCGCTGACTTCACGGCAGCTTCCCAGAGACCTCCGAAGTGGGGTGCTGAAGGAGGATTAAAGTTCCACTTTATTTCCAATTTGGTTGCTTGATGAAGTATGTCCTCTTGAGTTGACTGTTGGCGATACCAAGACCCAAACTCTCTCAACTTGTTAGCAGCTCCCTGAAAATTTGTGCCACAGTCTGAGTAACACTGTTCGGGGAGTCCCCTGCGACCAATAAATCTATTGAGAGCAGCCAGAAATGCATCTGTACTCAGCGCACTGACGATTTCCAAATGAACGGCTTTGGTAGCCATACATACAAAGACACAAAGGTAGGCTTTAGTGACTGCCGCTTTCCTTCGTTGAGATTCTCTCATGGGGAATGGACCAGCAAAATCAATACCTACATGAAGAAAGGCTCTACTCGGATTTACTCTTGATGGAGGAAGATCAGCCATTCTGGGTGTGAGGTTCTTTGCCTTGTCTTTGTAGCAAGTCAAACACTTGAATGTGCGATGACGAACGAGACTTCGTAATGCAGGTATCCAGAATCGAAGCTGAATTAATGCTTGCAAGAGACCAGGTCCTGGGTGTAAATACAGCTTATGATAATAGTCCACAAGCAAAGTAGTGAAGTGACACTTTGGCAGCAGAATAGGATGTCGTTGATTGGAAGGGAGTGAAGCTCTGTTTAGTCTTCCGCCAACTCTAAGGGTGCCATTTTCATCGAAGAATGGAGAGAGGTTGGAAAACTTGGAATTGGCTATTTCTTCCTTGTTGCAAGTGTCGTCTTGAAATATGTAGTGTGACTGAAGCTTATTCACTACATAAATTAAAGCTTCCCTCATTTCAGAAGGGTGTAGTGGACCGATGCGAATTTGACCAGAATTTATTTTTGCCATTGCATTAGTTATAAATCTTTTCCACCAAGCAATTGCTGTCAAGATCTTGTAATATGATGATTGTGATGAGATGAAGGTTATGATGAGAGGTTCTGAGTCAGTAGACATCAATGTAGTGTGTTCAATCTTCAGGTCTGGGAGTTCAGTTTGTAATGTCAGGTCCACATTTGATTTCGGCCATTCTTCTGCATGTTGACATAGCCATTGGGGACCATGCCACCATAAACTGTTGTTCTTGAGCTTTTCGACAGACAATCCTCTTGATCCACAATCACTTGGATTTTCACTTGTACGTACATGTCGCCAACATGACAACGATGTGAGCTCTGTAATTTGTGACACTCTATTTGAGATGAAAACCTTGAGCTTGTATAGTGGCATATGGAGCCAACTCAATACAATTGATGCATCGGTAAAGAAGACTGGATCTTCAAACTTGATTGCAGTATTTAGAGAAAACATCTTGGATACTGAAGAATGAAGTCTAGCTAAAAGATGTGCCCCACACAATTCAAGACGGGGTATAGAGACAGTTTTGATTGGTGCTAATTTAGTTTTAGCGACGAGAAGGTGTGTGGATATTTGGTCCTCACTGACGACTCTGAGATACAGTGTAGCACAGTATCCTTGTGCTGATGCGTCTGAAAATCCCACTAGTTGATAAGAAAGGGGTTTGTTGGGTACAACTAGTCTTGGTATGGTGAGGTCTGACAAATTCCTAAGCTGTTTGATGAACTCTTCCCAAACTGATTTAAGATGAAAGGGTATTTCTTCATCCCAATTCAAGCCAAGCTTCCATAACTCCTGCATGATCCCTTTGGCTAAAAATGTGACTGGTGCCAGGAATCCTAAAGGGTCATATATTTTAGCAACAGTAGATAGGATAGATCGCTTGGTAGATGCTGGAGAGAAGTCCTGAAGCTTAAAAATGAAGACATCATTTGTTGGATCCCAATGAAGACCTAATATCTTCACACTAGAGTCTTCGTTTGAAGAGAAGTTGACTGAGTCTGCTTGTTGTCCTGAATTGGCCACTTTTAAAAGTTCTTCTTGGTTACTTGCCCATTTACTTAGTGAAAAGTGTCCTTTTTCTAATAATTGGATAGTTTCTTGTTGAAGCTTCAAAGCTTCATTCAGTGAAGATGTGCCAGTCACTATATCATCCACATACATATCCTGCGATATAGCTTGAGCAGCTCTTGGATGGTTCTCGCCTTCGTCTAAAGCGAGTTGCTTCATAACTCTAAGTGCTAGAAAGGGTGCAGAAGTCAATCCATATGTGACAGTGCACAATTCATACTTTTTTATTGGGTCTGCTGGATTAAATCTCCAATAAATGTGTTGGTAGGACCTGTCCTGCGGGTCAACCAAAATTTGCCGATACATTTTGACAATATCAGCCACGAAGACAACTGGGTGCAAACGAAATCTCAGAAGAATGTCCCTAATGTCTTGTTGCAGCTTTGCACCCACCATGAGTTGGCTGTTCAAAGAAGGAAAGGGCGATGACTGAGCAGAAGCGTCAAAGACAACACGTAATTTTGTTTTGCCTCTATCCTCTTTTACCACACAGTGGTGAGGAATGACATACTTTGAAGGGGAAGTTGTGACATTCATGTGACCCAGATCTTGATAGTCTTTCATGAAATCATAGTACTCTGACATCAAATTCTTGTCTTTAATAAGTTTTCCTTCAAGATTGTAGAATCTCTTCAGTGATGTTCCTTCAAAATTTCCTAATTGTGGACTAGGCGTCTTGAAAGGTAGGCGTACAACATATTGACCATCGTCCATCCTGAAGTGGGTGTTCTTGAAATGAGCTTCACATGCTTCGTCTTCAGGGTTTGTGAAACAAATGTCAGTATGGGGCTCTTCAAGTTCCCAAAAGCGTTGGATCTGTTGTCTCAAGTCTTTAGCTTCGTTGTTAACAGTGAAGAAGGAGTTGTTACCATCAATAGATAATAAACAAGTTCCAGAAACTCGTCCTATGACTATATAACCAAATATAGAAGAAAAGAGCCTTGGCTGGTTGTCTTGTACTGTCACGGTGGATCCATCCCAAATATCTGAGAACAAATCTGATCCCAGCAGAAAATCCACAGGACCTGGTTGCCAAAACTTAGGGTCAGCTAAGTCAAAGGTAGCGTAATTTTTCCAAATATTGGAGGGCATGACAAAATTAGGTAAGTGAGATGTAATGTTATTTACGACTATTGCTTCAGTTTCAACAATAGGTGACTGCAAGTTGCGTGGTTTAAGGTGACAGCGTACTTTGCCCTTAGTGCCATTAAAAACTGTCTGGCCAATAGCACTGATTTTGTGAGGGAATGATTTAATTATCAAGCCAAGTTTATTTGCACATTTCTTTGTGATGAATGAGTGCTGACTACCTGAGTCCACTACGAGTCTCACTTGAGTGAAGTTGCCATGAACATCCTGAATTTCAGCAACAACTGTACCCAACAAGACTTGACTTTGTTCAGGCAGGGTTGCTGTTAATGAAGAATCTGGTGGATTCACAACATGAGCCTTGATTGCGGTTGTATCTTCATGTTCCAAAGAGGATGTATTGCTATCAGGAACGGGTAGATGCAAAAGTGAATTATGCCTCTTCTTGCAGACCTTGCAAGACCATTTAGAATTGCATCTATTGGTTGAGTGATAGTATGACAGGCAGTTTCTACATCCACGCCAAGACTTCAACATTTTATGTCTATCATCAACTGATGCATCAGCAAATTTATTGCATTTGAATAGAGCATGAGACCCCCTTTGGCATATGAAGCATACATCATTGCTGTCGGAGTTAGCCGAGGATTTAGGCAAAGAGCTGGATATGAGTGAAGTCTTCAAGTTACGACTATTTGATGGTTTGAAGCTCCCACTATTCTTCCCAGAAGTGGATGGCCTTATCTCCAATTGTTGTGTGTTTCCTCCAGCCAACTGAAGAGCTAGAGAGCGTTCACGGAGAAATTTAGTCAAATCATTGAAAACAGGAAAATCTTTTCCTTTATGCTGCAACTCAAATTGCTCTCGAGTTGTATGATCCAACAGCCTAACTGCTATATGAAACAGAATGAAGTCACCTTCGTCAGGTATTTTCAAAAGTTTAAATGCAGCAATATTATCTGAAATTTGAGAAAGGAATGACTGAAGTGAATCTACAGTTGTCTTCCCCTGTTGTGGTTTGAATGCCATCAATTGATTGAGGTAATTTGAAGCAAGCATTCGCTTGTTATTGAAAGTTTCATTTAAAGCCTTCCAGGCAATATCATAGTTATCGTCAACCAAAGGAAGATGTCTTATCACTGCAGAGGCAGTTCCCCCTAAAGAAGAGACGAGATAGTGAAATTTCTCCATTTTTGATAACAAGGCATCATTATGGATAATGGAAGTGAAGGCATCTCGAAACTTGGGCCAATTCGTAATCTGGCCATTGAAGTGTGGAAGATTGATGCGAGGCAAATGTTTATTGCTTCTGGCTTCTGGTGACAAAGATTCATTAAGTCCCATACTCTGCCTTGATGAAGTAGTGCTAACCTCTGAGAGAATAGTTTCATGTGAAGTGTGTGCTTCATAGTAGTAACGTTTAGCTTTAGTTTGCATTGTTAGGTCATCTTCTTGAGGAAAGGTTTGTTTCCCAGTAGACTTCTCAGTTTCATACAGGTCTGTGAGCTCATCCCAAATATTTTCAAATCTTGAATAATATTTCTCAAGAACCTTAAACATGCCCTTGAAGGAATTATGTTGGTCCTTATTGTTGAGTGCTGCTCTGCCCTTTTCATTTATTACTTGAACTTCCTTGAAACTATCTACTAATTTCCTCTTCAAAGTGGTAGCCTTGCGTTTGAACTCTTCGGCATCCATGTTTTTGGACTGGGATAGGTTTTGGGTTCAAAGGAAAATAGAAAATGAATGAAAAAAAAAAAATATGAATTTAGTTCGGCTGTAGTATGATTAAACAGCTTGTACAATAGTAGACCTACCTACTGAAAAGTGCATTAGTATGAAACCATTCAATTAGTTATAAACGATTGAAAACAGATTGTAAGTGCTGACCTGCAATGAAACATTAAATGAACAAAATACATCTTATGAAAATACTAATGACAAATAAACAGTGGACCATGACAAGGAAAATAGTTAAAAAACTTATTCTATACGACAAACAATTGTTCTGAAACGTCTGTGAAATTTCAACAATAAATTATATACTATGTAATATTTGAACAACTATTCTGTTGATTGCTGTTATCAATTTGAGTTTGAAATGCAAAATGTACAATAAAATAATGAGTAATGAATACAGTAATAAACACTAATCAAGCATAAACAACTTAACACAATTCAATTGATTAATAACTGAACAAATAATATTTATTTAAAACACAATTAAATAGTTAGGCCTATTCACTTCAAATAAGTTGTTATTATAATATTCCACAACTAATCAAAATCCGGCTCGAAGGACCACTATGTTGAAGCCAAAGAGGAAATTTAAGGCCTTTTAAAACAATAAAATCCTAACTCTAACCTCTTATGAAATTTTATGCTAATTCCTGAGACTTGATTGCTGTGAAAAATAACAAAACACAATTTATGACAAAATGAAATGTATTAAAGAAAATAACTATTATGCTTACAAATAAAATGAAATAACCCTTAAATGAAAATAAAATGTTACAATTAATATTTAAACAATTTTTAAATGAGCAAAAAGATATTGCTGCCAGGTAGGATGGAACCCGGGACTGTGAGATTGTAAGTCCAATGCTCTGACCACTAGACCAAAGATGATTGAAGAATTGAGCTGCAGTGGCTCTATTAGCCTCAATCAGTGACTACTGTACTGTATTGGAGCTTGTTCAGGATTGCACAATTGTGTACAGCACACTGAATATAAAAGTTTGTTAAAATTAAAGGGATACTGCTGACCCTTGGAAAATTAATTAATAATGAGAAAGGGATACTGACGACCCTTGCAATTAATGTCTATAAATGTCTGACTCACGACTACATGGTGAAAAATCTTCTCATCAGTCCAAGCACAAAAACACATGTCACATTCTGTCTCTGTCTCTATCCACTCTCTGACCACTGAAGCAACCGTTGAGACCGTCCAGCATGACCATTGTACCCAACCTGGCAGCTTACCCTATCTATGAGTGATTTACTTAACTAACTACAATGAATGAATGAAACCATTTCATGAGAATTATTCTAACAAATGGAATACAAAGTTTTAAATATTTATGAAACAACAAATTGAGTTATTAAGATAAAATGAATATTTTGTAAATACAATAAAATAAAATCTACTTATTTTTAATTAAATAAAAAGATGCTTAATCAGATACATTTAGATATAATTTGATACACTTAGATATACTTTGACACCCTTAGATATACTTTGATACACTTAGATATACTTTGATACACTTTGATACACTTAGATATACTTTGATATACTTTGATACACTTAGATATACTTTTATACACTTAGATATACTTTTAAACACTTTGATACACTTAGATATACTTTGATACACTTATATATACTTTGACATACTTTGATGCACTTAGATATACTTTAATACACTTAGATATACTTTGATACACTTTGATACACTTAGATATACTTTGATATACTTTGATACACATTGATATACTTTGATATACTTTGATACACTTAGATATACATTGATACACTTTGATACACTTAGATTTACTTTGATACACTTAGATATACTTTGATACACTTTGATATACTTTGATACACTTTGATATTCGTTGATACACTTAGATATATTTTGATACACTTAGATATACTTAGATATACTTTGATACTCTTAAATATACTTTGATACATTTTGTTACACTGATATATACTTTGAACACTTAGATATACTTTGATACACTTAGATATACTTTGATACACTTTGATACACTTAGATATACTTTGATATACTTTTATACACTTAGATATACTTTGATACACTTAGATATACTTTGATACATTTTGATACATTTAGATATAATTTGATACACTTAGATATACTTTGACACCCTTAGATATACTTTGATACACTTAGATATACTTTGATACACTTTGATACACTTAGATATACTTTGATATACTTTGATACACTTAGATATACTTTTATACACTTAGATATACTTTTAAACACTTTGATACACTTAGATATACTTTGATACACTTTGATACACTTAGATATACTTTGATATACTTTGATACACTTAGATATACATTGATATACTTTGATACACTTAGATTTACTTTGATAAACTTAGATTTACTTTGATACACTTAGATATACTTTGATACACTTTGATATACTTTGATACACTTAGATATACTTTGATACACTTTGATATACTTTAATACACTTTGATACACTTAGATATTAGTTGATACACTTAGATATATTTAGATATACTTTGATACTCTTAAATATACTTTGATACATTTTGTTACACTGATATATATTTTGAACACTTAGATATACTTTAATACACTTAGATATACTTTGATACACTTTGATACACTTAGATATACTTTGATATACTTTGATACACTTAGATATACTTTGATACACTTAGATATACTTTGATACATTTTGATACACTTAGATATACTTTGATATACTTTGATACACTTAGATATACTTTTAAACACTTTGATACACTTAGATATACTTTGATACACTTTGATACACTTAGATTTACTTTAATAAACTTAGATTTACTTTGATACACTTAGATATACTTTGATACACTTTGATATACTTTGATATACTTTGATACACTTTGATACACTTAGATATACTTTGATACACATTGATATACTTTGATATACTTTGATACACTTAGATATACATTGATATACTTTGATACACTTAGATATACTTTGATACACTTATATATACTTTGACATACTTTGATGCACTTAGATATACTTTAATACACTTAGATATACTTTGATACACTTTGATACACTTAGATATACTTTGATATACTTTGATACACATTGATATACTTTGATATACTTTGATACACTTAGATATACATTGATACACTTTGATACACTTAGATTTACTTTGATACACTTAGATATACTTTGATACACTTTGATATACTTTGATACACTTTGATACACTTTGATATTCGTTGATACACTTAGATATACTTTGATACACTTAGATATACTTTGATACACTTAGATATACTTTGATACATTTTGATACATTTAGATATAATTTGATACACTTAGATATACTTTGACACCCTTAGATATACTTTGATACACTTAGATATACTTTGATACACTTTGATACACTTAGATATACTTTGATATACTTTGATACACTTAGATATACTTTTATACACTTAGATATACTTTTAAACACTTTGATACACTTAGATATACTTTGATACACTTATATATACTTTGACATACTTTGATGCACTTAGATATACTTTAATACACTTAGATATACTTTGATACACTTTGATACACTTAGATATACTTTGATATACTTTGATACACATTGATATACTTTGATATACTTTGATACACTTAGATATACATTGATACACTTTGATACACTTAGATTTACTTTGATACACTTAGATATACTTTGATACACTTTGATATACTTTGATACACTTTGATATTCGTTTATACACTTAGATATACTTTGATACACTTAGATATACTTAGATATACTTTGATACTCTTAAATATACTTTGATACATTTTGTTACACTGATATATACTTTGAACACTTAGATATACTTTGATACACTTAGATATACTTTGATACACTTTGATACACTTAGATATACTTTGATATACTTTGATACACTTAGATATACTTTGATACACTTAGATATACTTTGATACATTTTGATACATTTAGATATAATTTGATACACTTAGATATACTTTGACACCCTTAGATATACTTTGATACACTTAGATATACTTTGATACACTTTGATACACTTAGATATACTTTGATATACTTTGATACACTTAGATATACTTTTATACACTTAGATATACTTTTAAACACTTTGATACACTTAGATATACTTTGATACACTTTGATACACTTAGATATACTTTGATATACTTTGATACACTTAGATATACATTGATATACTTTGATACACTTAGATTTACTTTGATAAACTTAGATTTACTTTGATACACTTAGATATACTTTGATACACTTTGATATACTTTGATACACTTAGATATACTTTGATACACTTTGATATACTTTAATACACTTTGATACACTTAGATATTAGTTGATACACTTAGATATATTTAGATATACTTTGATACTCTTAAATATACTTTGATACATTTTGTTACACTGATATATACTTTGAACACTTAGATATACTTTAATACACTTAGATATACTTTGATACACTTTGATACACTTAGATATACTTTGATATACTTTGATACACTTAGATATACTTTGATACACTTAGATATACTTTGATACATTTTGATACACTTAGATATACTTTGATATACTTTGATACACTTAGATATACTTTTAAACACTTTGATACACTTAGATATACTTTGATACACTTTGATACACTTAGATTTACTTTAATAAACTTAGATTTACTTTGATACACTTAGATATACTTTGATACACTTTGATATACTTTGATACACTTTGATACACTTAGATATACTTTGATACACATTGATATACTTTGATATACTTTGATACACTTAGATATACATTGATATACTTTGATACACTTAGATTTACTTTGATACACTTAGATTTACTTTGATACACTTAGATATACTT